CAGGAGTTGGGCGACCTCTTCGCACAATATCCAGCTTTTAGTGGAAGGTCCGTCTTGAAAATTGTGTGGAATGTAGTTCCGCAACCAGATCGTCTTCTCCTTCATCCATTTTGGGTTAAAATGCATTGATAGCGCTCGCGGGTGGCGCTCATCCAATAAGTCCAACAAGTCAGGATACAATTCTCAGGAAACAGAAACGGCGCTAATCCAATCACCGAACGCACATGGACAGTCTCGACGTAAGGTCTGCTAGCTAGCCCTAGTACGCAGACGAGAACAAGTCAGGAGTCTGAGACTCGTGATCTGATTGGCTACTGAAACCTGACTGTGCCCGTTCACTTACAGCGCACAGGAGCCTGCTCTGTTTAATCTGAAGGCCCCGAGTAAGTTTAATTTACCTGGCAACGCAAGCTAACTGTAATATGATTGGTTAAAAACTCTACCATAATAAATAAGTTATTTATCGAGTGGCTTTCAATGTTATTTAAAATAACATTGAAAGCCACTCAACGAAGTGGAAATAATATGACGTAAAGAATACAGGAAAGCCACTCAACTAAGTGGAAATAATATGACGTAAAGAATACAGAGAGTAATTTTGTTTACATATTTATGAAAATAAAATAACAAATTATAAAACAACATAAAATACATAAAAGTAAATTTACTTTTCTGAGAATGTTTAGGCCAGCAGAGAAAGCCTTGCTGGCCCTGAGGGTCCGCCTCTGCTTTTGGTTGATATTGTCAATGTGACTCTCCTAACTTGGTTCCTGCTTTCTGGATTTCATTTTTGAATTTCATAAAATTAAACTTTTTTTTTTTGCATGCATTCATGAGTGGTTGACTTCAAAATAAAAGCTAACCGAATAATAAATTATTGGCAATGCAATAGCCTGAGTAACTTTTATTTTGAAGTTTTATTTCATTTTGAAGTTGACTTTCATAGCGCGTGATGCCTTTTTGACATTTTGGCTTGCATTAAACAAGTTTTATTGCTATTATATCTTTGTAGTTGATACCAACATCAACATCAACTCATAGCCACCACAAAATCATATTCACTTGTGAATTAAGGACACTCAGAAACAAATTACGCCATCATTTTATGATACAGCACAAGTCTCCAGCATCAGCTGCTAGCTAGTTGCTAGCAGCGAGTATCCACCTCGCAACAGCCATTCAACTACTCTCCAAGGCAGTTTGACGGCTATCGCGTTGCTTTGCTTTCTTTTCTTCTCTTTCAATGATGTGGGCGTGGGCTGCTTTGTAATTCTATCAACATATTTTTTCATTCATGGCCCAAGTATATAATAAGTTGGTATCCTGCTTTTTTTTCATAAAGTTGTGTTTGTAATATCTAAACAGCCATATTTGATATTTGACATCATTTTGAGTTTAGTAGTAGTAGTAGTAGTAGTAGTAGTATTAATGGACAAAAGTGTTTTATAAACTAAATGAAGACAGTTATTTTTCTATTTTGTTGCTGATACGAACAACAATGTGTCACGATTCTGTTTGTGACCAACAGGTGGCACTGTAGGGCTCCATCTGCAGCAGCACACCTGTTGGTCATTACGTCATTAGTTGTTTAAAAAGATTCCCTGCCTGACCACTCAATGTCGGATCATTGTTGTTTCTGTCATGTTTGTCTGTCTCGTTTCTGTCATGTTCTCGGTCATGTTTCGGTGAATGTTGATTTCTTCACCGAAACATGACCGAGAACATGACAAAAACAAGACAGACAAACATGACAAACAACAAAAGGAATCCAAAGTAACAAACAAAAACCGTGGCCGAACAAAAAACTATCAATAACAGAAACATGACCGAAACATGACAGTGTCACGTTGCGTGGTGGTGGTGGACCCCAAAAAGCAGGCAGGAGCAGGTTGTACTTGAAGAAGTGTATTGAAACAGAGAAAACTGACAGTAGCAGACAAACGGCAACAAACAAACATGACAGTGGCCAAAAGCAAACAATGACCCAACAATGAGTGCTCGAGCTGGGAGTCCTTTTAAAGCCACTAATTACCTAACGACCAACAGGTGTGCAGCTGCAGGGAAAAGCCCCACAGTGCCACCTGTTGGTCACAAACAGAAACATGACAGACAGAACAAATATGACAGAACAATGACCCGACACCGAGCGGTTGTGCCGGGAGACCTTTTAAAACATACAACTAATGCCACAATGACCAACAGGTGTGCAGCTGCAGGCGGAGCCCTACAGTGCCACCTGTTGGCCACAAACAGAACCATGACACAATGATCCAATCCGAACCATGAGATTCTTGATTTGTTGCACCCCGAGTCAGCAAACACCCCCGCGTTGACAAATTATTATCACTTCATGAAAATGGTCATTTGCCCATGGCGTCAGGGGACCTTTGCACGTCGTCGTTCAAATACCCGTCAGTAGCCGCCGCCCCACTTCCACCATATGAATATTTTCAAGGTGCACCATCTCAGTTTTTGCTTTGGACACCGAAAAGGGTAGCACCTTCCTTCTTCAGCCAAGGAGAAGTGGACCTGAAGGAATACACGTCATCTTTCCTGGGCTTCATCTCAAATTGTGCTGATGATACCACCAGGAGTTACCTGAACCAGAAGCCCTGGCTGAATGCAGAGAGCACGATTGAAGGCTTGGGATGTTGCCTTCAGCACACACAAAGCATCAGCACTCAGGGCAGCCGCAGAGGGCTAAATATGCAGTTGCAGGCTTCAGGAGGGCGAAATACTCCTATGCTCAGAAATCCAGGGCCATTTGACCTCCAGATTGTGTAATCTCATGATTCAAAAAAGTGTTCGGGTTTCAAAGTAGGGTTAGGTTTTCAAAGCTTGGTTAGGGTTTCAAAGTAGGGTTTCAAACTAGGGTTACAGTTATTTCCAAAGTAGGATTTCAAACTGTAATGCTAAGCCACTGGTAGTGTATTTCATCTGCAGGATTAACATGAGTGTATTGACAGTACTTTTCTGGTCTGTTGGATACTTGTCACCAAGTGACGTACTCTATTTATACTGGAATGATGACTTTCTGTTAACACTTGGACTCAGAGTTTGTCTCGGGGAGAAGGAACCAAGTGATAATAACTTCAGAAATAATACAAATAAACTGAACAAAATACGGAGGACAATACTCCCAACAAAATTAAATTGAGCCACACCCCTGAGGAGGAAAGGGGAGGGGAGTTGGGGACAATCTTAACCCCCCAACCGAAGCCAAGCTCCGGTGAAGAAAAGCACAAATACAGAAAAAGTGGGCAGCTAGCGACATGATTGAACAAATCCATCCAAAAACTCTTGCTGTAACTTAAATCCTGTAAAATAAATCTAACAGAGGCGCAATACTAAAACAAAAAACAAAAAAAGTAAGGCACCCTCTGGTAAATAAAAAAAAAAAAAGACCATTTCAGTTATTAATATGTTAGTGGTTACCTGTTATTAATATGCTGAGGTTAAAGAGCTAACACTTTTTGTGGTAGTATTTTCAGGGAAAATTGTGTATCCACCCATCCATCCATTTTTCGAAATTGCTCTTTCCAAAATGTAGCATTTTATTTATTTATTTTTAACCAATGGTATTGAACTAGGAATCTGTGAGTTTCCCTACTAACACTCAACCTGTGACCAAAAAAAAAAAGAAAAAAAATACATTTTCAAATGTCATTTTTTGAGGGAAAACTAAATTGACAGATACAGTGTTGGACAGCAATTAGGAACAAAGCGGAGGAAAAACATGTCTAGAAATGACATTTTAGATGCAACCACTGAAATGTTTGCAGTTCAAACCACGTGGTTGGTGGCCATGACAGGAAACTGCTGAGAACCTCTGCGCTGAACAGGGAAACCACAGTGGTCGGTTGCTTCTGTTTTCCTGTAAGATCCGCTACAGTAAGTTCATTTCTGCATGCAAGTGAATTTACTTACACGAATGCATGAATAATCTCATCATCACACTTTTTTAAACCAGTGGCGATTACGATACCATTCACACATAAGCAAGTAAGAATTACCTTTTGGAGAACGTTACAATTCAGTTCACAGTCAGAGAAAGGAAAAAGAGCAACTGACCGCGTGACATCTGCTCATCTAAAACAGGAAAACCTGTCAAAGAATTGCTGCAGACACCCAAGCGCAAATAAAGAGAAGAAATCCTCGAACAAATTATCAACCTTAGGACTTCTGCCAT